TGGTCATGCATACCGGACACGTCCGATATGACCAGGACAGTGAACCCTCCAAGTCAGTTAAAGTTCGAGACATCGGAACTCCCGACCCTTGCCGGAACTCCCGACCGTCAGAACTCCCGACCTACGTCGGAACTCCCGACGAACCAACCCGAGAACAACAATTTTACAACTGCTGGGTAAATACCGGACACGTCCGGTATTGCCAGACCAGCAAAAATAAAGTTAGCTCTTTTGTCGCTCAAATACGCAAAACTCACTTGGGTTGGCTTGAGCACTTATGAAACATTATCTATCAACATGATGCATCCCTCTTAATAGTACGGCATTCCTATTTACTCAAATTTAAAAGTATAACGAATTTAAACCTTTTGAGTTGCTCTTTTTGAACCGAAGCCGTGTATTCCAATCTTCATCAAGTGGGGGCGCCAACATGTTGATATTGATCTTTTTCACTAGAGCATAGCCATTTTGAGCATGTGACTTGATTCCATTCATCATATTTGAATAATCCCAAATGTATCAAGTCACTTCCTTCAAATACTCCAATAGTGATTTGATCCTTTACATAAACGTGGCCATCATAGCTTGATTAGTACCTCAACTAAATGCAAGTACTTTCTTCTTCACCCTAGCTAGGTTCTTCGGCTGCCAAGCCGTCGCTTGCCCTTCACCCTTGCTTAGTACCTCGAAGCCTTTCCTTGCTATCTTCACCATCTCAAGCCATCAAGTCACATCTTGTGTTGAATCATTCATTCATGTATTGTTATCTTTTTCATTTCAATTTTAGCAAGATTCAAATATGAGACCATTCCATATGCAAATCCTTATGTCTCATTAATTAATTCTCACAAGCTTGCTTTTACATAGTACATGGAAATCCCACAATAAACAAGCCTTTGCATGAATTCTATTTGCATTGTTGTCTTGTGCTTAAACTAGATTGTTTATACAACAACACATCATTTTGGCTTTCATTAAATACCTGTGAGATAACCTATCATCTGTCCACACTTAGCAAACGGGTTAGACCTTTAATCATGTTGTCATTCAATCATCCAAAACCCACTAAAGGGCTAGATACACTTTCACAACCCTTGTAGAGCCAGAGCAAGTTTGTATTTCGCTATTTATTATACTAATCAAATTGCTCTAGTCAGTTTGTAGATTTTTAAATAAGCTATTCACCCTCCTCTAGTAATATTAGGACCTTTCACTCGATGCGATCGTCGAGGCGCTTGAGGAGCTGCAGCTGCACGCATCGGAGGCCCACTCCTCCGGGAGCGACCAACTCCTCGGCTTCGATTACGGGAGGCTAGAGCTCCAGCTCGGCGCCTTCCTAGGACCCCGATCGTTCTAGGAGGACCTACATCGCCTTACCTTCTCGTTCGCCAACGTCATGGCACAGCTTACCAGAGGAGAGCCACTCTCCCCAAAATACCTCATCCGGAGCGCCTCGACAACGCTCTCGTTCGGTCTGCGCCATGCCGTAGAGACTATTGGCCACCTTGTGGCGCAACGCACGCCCCGGATGACCGAATACGTCGTGGAATTTTTCCACGACCTTCTCACAGGAGAATCGGAGTTGTCCTCTAACTCTGACTCCAGCAGGGGAAACCATTACCCCTCGCGAGAATGTTTCATGGTAGGTACCCCGAGGGATACATCGAAAGCATCCATGAGGGAGAGGCTACCCTAACAGACGACCTCGACGACAAGGTCGAGGGGGATGCAGGGGCCCCACCTCGCCTGTGGGTAGAGTAGCTGAGGGCGCGGCACCAAGAGCTCAAAGAAGCACAACTCCAGCTCGAGCAGGAATGTGCGGAGTTCAAGAGCCACAGAGACGGTGGGCGTGCGCGTGCCGCGGCCCGCGACGTGAATCGGAGGATCATCGAGGACGACGAAGCCCTCCCACACTTCACCCGGGCAAGCCAGAACATCGCTGCCATGGCGGCCTTGCTCCAGGGGCTTCTGGAGCCCGCGACACCCGAGGATCGTTGGGCCTATCGCGAGATTCGCACGCTACTCGTGCGTGCGGCGGCGCAGCAGGTCGAGAGCTCGTTGTCCTGACGACGCGAGCTCAGCGCCAGCCAACGTGCGCCCTCAGACGGGGACCCATACCGCCGCCAACCACTCCAGGTCTAAGCGTATCACCTGGGTCAAAACTCTGACGCCGGGGAAGAGGCTGGCACGCCTCGATGTAACCCGTGGCCATGACATGCCATACCTGGGGATTCACATCAGGAACAGTGTCGAATGTGCCGGTGCTATTCTGCCTAATCCTAGTACGGACACTGACAGGTGCGTCAGTTCACCACGACGTCCGCCGATACGGAGTGGAACGCCATGACCGACAGATGACGCCTGCGCATGGCGCCAGTGACGAACAGGGCTGCAACATGGAGCCATCCCTGTTGACATCTACAGGATCTGCGGGACCCGTATGAAGGAGAAAAAGGAGCTGGCAACCCTGAAAGCCTTCTTCTCTCTCGTTCTTCTTCTCTTTCCTCCTCTGTAACCCGTGTTTTCTCTTTGCCTATAAAGGGAAAGCAGGGTGCCCCTACCAGGGGACAGACAGAATCGAAACACAAGAGCACGACATGAGCACACGGCTAAGCGGCAAGCGAGGTCTCAGCATCTGTTCACTCCTTCCACCAGAGACATGGGATCCTCTCCCTCTCTCGCCTGTTTATAACCCATACTGCAAACCAAGTGCCGGTAACACGAGCAGCCACGAACTGGACGTAGGGATGTTCTGTCCGAACCATTATAAACCCTTGTGTACTCTGAGCACACCATTCGAGTCAGACGCGTAAATACAAATGTATTCATCGGTGGTCCGAAAACACCGACACTATACTCCGGCATAAAGAGTGATGATGCATATGGATAACTATATCTTGAATGCATGTATAAAACTAATTGATTTCTCAAAGCACCCACCTCTTCTATATATTACATGTCCTTAGGGCAGCCGCAACGGGTGACTCGTAAGCTAGCTCTGGGCATTTTTTATATTTTAATAGAAGAGAGAGAAAATCTAGCTCTTGATCAAGAGTTAGCCTCATATATATATTTTAAAAACATGTAAGAGTATCATGTGTGTCTAATCATATTATAAACCATTGCTAAAAGCTAACACTATTGAAGAGGTGACTTCGAGTTAGTAATTGTCTGGTTGTTGCGGGTGCCCTCAGAACACTATCTTTAGAGAGTGTGTGCGACTGATGAGAAGGCTATCTAACAATTTGGATGTAACCTATACGTTGATGATGTCACTATACGGTATTCCCGCACCCTTTTCCTTGTTAATTGTCACGTGTCTCCAATTAATGTCATTCTTTGTTTTCTATGCCATACACGACCAACTATTTCCACATGGCTGATAGTGCCACCACGCAATTCATACAAATTCTCTATATATCATTACAAGCTCAGCATTCTAGTAGAGTCACCACCAACTCATCGTATTACCATCCATGGTTGGCTCACCGCCTTAGTTTTTTTTTTCAGTAACTAGCACTAATCGACCTTCTCATCGTAACTAATGGCCTGTTTGGTGCAGCTCCCGTTCTGGTTTCATGTGCGGTTCGAGGACCGGAGAAGGCGCAACCGCACCGAACAATGTCGTGCAGAGGAGTTCTTCCGTCTTTCCGTGTACGAAGCCAGAGCTGGAGTTCCAAAAGCTAGCTCCACCTATAGGGTTTTGGCTCCGGCCACATAGCACCCAACATGGAGCCGCACCAAATGCGCCTTACAGCCTGTTTAGTTCTCTTCCATTTTGCAAAATTTTTTAAGATTTCCCATCACATCGAATCTTTAGACGCATGCATGAAACATTAAATATAAATAAAAAATAAAACTAATTACACAGTTTAGACGAAATTCACGAGACGAATCTTTTAAGCCTAATTAGACTATGATTGGACACTAATTACCAAATAACAACAAAAGTGCTGCAATACAATTTCGCCAAAAATTTCGCCAACTAAACACTACCTTAATCATGATCGTCGCTGCGAGAAGAGAAGTGTTGTTGCATTGCTCCTAACTTATCATCAAGGTTTTTGAAGGCTTTTCTCGATGATTTCAAGCATCCACGGTCTTCCATGAAAAATTCGTGGCTTTTGAAAAGTATGAAGAACATTTGCCAACAAGATTCCATTCAAAATGCTCCTTCCATGAGACAATGAACAAGAAGTGACCAAGAACAGGAGGGAGAAAAAACGAACCCAGCATCACACACACACATACACACACCCCAAAAGAAAAGAAAAAAACTCCGGAAGGGCCCACACGCGCACATAGGGGGAGCATAGACCAAAACCGGGAAGAAACAGAGGAGACGGAGAGAAAGCGACGCAGCTGCCTGACTTGACCTCCGTGCCTCCGCCGTCCGCCCGTTCCCGTCCCTCCTCTCACCTCTCACCTCTCACCTCTCACCTCAAGGCCCTGACACAAACAAAGAAAAACTTTTACTTCCCCGAGGCGGCGAGGCCCGCACAAGCAGAGGAAGCAGAGCAGAGGAGAGAGAAGGACCACACCGCAGCACAGGGCACAGCACCCAGCGCAGCACGCACAGGCAGGCACGGCTCCCCTACTACACGCATGCCCACGCCACCCTCCCCTGCCTCCTCTCTCTCTCTCTCTCTAGCTACTAGCTAGAAGCCCTGGCGTGGTGGTGGTCTAGACAAACAAGCCTTTGGTCTCCGTGCGTGTAATCGAGTTTGCCGGTGTTGGCCTCCCTGCCTCCCTCTGCCCGCCCTCTGCCTTCTTGTGCTCGCTTCCTCCCCCGCCTCGCCTGCTCCCCTGTCCCTCCCGTGTCGGAGGGGACACGCGCACGCGCGGCCGTGTGGGACGGGCGGGCCTGCTCGGCTGCTCCGGAAACCGGAACCGGCCATGCCTGGGGCCCGCTAGCTAGCCGACCTCTCTCTCTCTCTCTCGCTCGTTCTCGCCGGCGAAACGAGCGCTTGGTTGGCTTGGCGGAGGTCCGGGACGTCGAGATGATCAAGCAGCAGCAGCAGCAGGCACCGCCGGCGCCGGCGAGCTCCGCCGCGCCTCCGGCGCCTGCTGTCCCGGCGGCGGCAGCGGCGCCCAGCGGATGCGAAGGTATGTGCGATTGCTAATGGCGGTCTGGCGGGAATGGAATGGAATAGTGCCATCTTTGCTTGGCTCTCTGGTCCTTGCGTTCTCGAGTTTTTCTGCTTGGTGGGATTGGAAAGCGCCTTTTGTTTTTCTTCCCCTCTGGACTTCTGGCTGTAGCAAAGTCGCGATTTTTCCAATGCGTTCTTAGGCGTGTCTAGGGGCTTCTGTGATTTCTGGAGATTTTGCGGGGTGTTTTTTCTGTGCAAAAAAAACACCGCTGGCCGCGCCGTCGCGATCGTCGCCGGCCACCGGCGTGGAAAAGTGCACGATTATTCTGCATTTATGTCCTTCCGTATCTCAGAAACCCCGGAGCTCCATCTGGCGAGCTACGAGAGTTCTGGAGTAGTAGTAGTAGTTCTTCGGTTTCTTTCTCTGTGTCCGCAAGTGCAAGCGCAAGCTGCAACGGCAGCCATGGTGGTCTGCGTGCCTTCGGCGGAATTAGGGGGGAAAAGTAGCTCCTTTTTCTTCTGTTATTATCACTGATGATGCGGTTGGTTTGGTTTGGCCAATTGGCCTTGCGTATGTGTGCAGGGGAGAAGAAGGCGCCGCCGATCAACTCGGAGCTCTGGCACGCCTGCGCGGGGCCTCTGGTGTCGCTGCCGCCGGCGGGCAGCCTCGTCGTCTACTTCCCCCAAGGCCACAGCGAGCAGGTGAACCCCTCTCTCTGAGCCTACCCGTGCTGTGATTCATCATTCATGGTGGCTCCTTGCTTCACTTTTTTGCGATATTTTTTTATTTGTTTTTTTAGTTTTTTTTTTCGTATGGTCTGACTTGTTCATGTGCCACGGCCTTTTAAAATGCTTTCTAGTTGGCAAATTTTGCTTTGATGCTATGCATAAGAATATTTTAATTCTAAATAACGGACCCTCTGGGGTCTTGACAGATGACAGGCCAAGATTGGTTTCTGTCGAATTTTAATTGCTAAAAGTATCAGGGACGTGACTTGATTTGCTGTTCTCCATTTTGTTGAGTGAATGAGTGGTGCTGCCAGTTAAGTTGATGGGATCTTTCGCTATTTATAGTGTTCATCACTATTTTAATGTACATATTTTTACAACAAAAAAAATGTACTCTCTCTGTTCCTAAAAAGATGCAATTTTAGAATTGTGCTATATTGAATCAGGTCAAGTTTGACCAAATTTATATATAAAAAAATACCAATATTTACCATTAGATTCTTCATGAAACATATACTTATTTGGAGCCATAAACATTAATATTTTTATCTATATATTTAGTTAAACTTTAGGTACTTTAACTGAGAATGCACCTACAATTGCATTCTTTTTTGAACAAAAGGTAGGACAATTTTTGTATCATATACCTATTCATTTCTCGGAGTGATTCATTTATGACTTTTCAAAGCATATCTGTTCTGTAGTCTGTACTTTAGCAGATCCTTATTCTATCATATCATGACTATTTTCTTTGTCTTGTAAGATTGGTACTTTTTTTTTAAATGAAGGAATTAAGATTGGTACATTCGAAATAGGAATTCGATGAAATATGGACATGTTACTGCAAAAAAGAGAAGATATGTTGTGCTTGTAATGTTTGTTCAGTTGGTTGGTAGTATATTTTGCTTTTGTTTGCTGCCGATTTTTGGCTTATGGCCAAAGCAGTTGGGAGTAATGGGCCTACTACCCCCACTCTTTTTATGGGTTTCTGGTGTGCTGCACCATTCCCTTGCTTGCTGTTTGGTGGATGAAGGAACCAAGTACGATGGGATTTTAGCTTTTATATAGGTGATGCTTTCAGTAACCTCTGTCACAAATTTCATGGATTTGGCACCAAAGAAGCTTGTTTTGAGCAAGTTTAGGGGATCGGATGATCACATGTTCGGATTTGGAAGAGATTCTCTGTCTGAATGCAAGTACTGGGAGGTGCCCAACTTTGGTTTTTCCTTTCCTTTTTGCTCGATGAAAGAAAATGGAACCTTTTCAGCTATGATTGGCTGGTGGTTTCATCGCACATGGTGGCTATAATAGCTCTTTGATGCAATGTATCTACTTGTGTTATGTGCTGTCAAATCCCAACGACTTTCCATCACAACTTTCTCATTTGGCTTCTACAGTAGATATTGGTTTTACACTGTACTGGTGTTCAGGGATTTTTCAACCTGATTTACGCAGTAGTTATTAGTTTTACACTGTATGACTTCAGTTAGTAACATCTTTATTTTTTTCCTTATTTCGTTCTTGATGGCTCACAAGACTTGGGAATTTATATCTGCATTCTTCAGAAGAAAATTTTTCATTCTGTTTTTTTTTCCCTCTCAGGCTGTGTTTGAGTTGGAGTATGAGATTTAAAGTTAGCTCTTACTGTAGGTTGCAGCTTCTATGCAAAAGGATGTTGATGGACATGTTCCAAGCTACCCAAATCTTCCGTCAAAGTTGATTTGCCTTCTGCATAATGTCACTTTACATGTAATATTATGCTGTGCCCCCATTTTAATTGTCTTCTGCTTGATCATTTATGCATTTATACTAAAAGGATTTCTTCTGGGGCTTTTGTAGGCGGATCCAGAAACAGATGAAGTGTATGCGCAAATGACTCTCCTGCCAGTTACTTCAGTACATATCCAGTTCCACTCCTGGTTTGCCATAAGTTTTTCCTCTATTTCCGTATTTTAACACGAGCTTTGTATTTCAAATTGATTGTTAATGGTGATCAGTATGGAAAAGAGGCACTGCAACTATCAGAACTGGCATTGAAACAACCAAGGCCTCAAACAGAGTTCTTCTGTAAGACACTAACTGCAAGTGACACAAGCACTCATGGAGGCTTCTCCGTGCCTCGTCGAGCAGCTGAGAAGATATTTCCACCTCTTGTATGTGAAGATTTGTGTCCACATGATTTTTGAGCATTTTATTTGTTATTGCAATTAAATGTACTCACATCCTTCTGTAGGATTTCTCCATGCAACCACCCTATCAAGAGATCCAAGCCAGAGATTTACATGATAATGTATGGACATTCCGTCACATATATCGAGGTAAAAGATGCAGCATCATGGAAATATTTTTGGATGAAAAGTTTAGTATCAGAGCCATAATGGGTATTTACATGTAAATTTCTGTTTTATTGTCTTCAATACAGTTGTGCATTGTAGCTCATGTACACAATTTTTAAAGAAGTTTTCACACAAATGTTTTTTCATGGTTCTATCTTTTTCGTGCACATACAAACTTTGTAGGATGTTTGACCATCCCCATCTTTTGGAACGAACAGGTCAGCCAAAAAGACATCTGCTTACCACTGGCTGGAGTCTTTGTGTGAGCGGAAAGAGATTATTTGCTGGTGATTCTGTCATTTTTGTAAGGTACAGCTGTACATCACAGCTTCTGAATCTATGCCTTTGAAATTTTCTCTAAAAAAGCTCATGAGAGATGATACCTCCTTTTTTCTGGTCTTCATGGTTGATTCAACACTGACTATTCCTTTTTCTTTGATTTTTGTTATATATGTTTTTAGGGATGAAAAGCAGCAACTTCTACTTGGAATCAGGCGTGCTAATAGACAGCCAACTAACATATCATCATCTGTCCTTTCAAGTGACAGCATGCATATAGGAATTCTTGCTGCTGCAGCCCATGCCGCTGCCAACAATAGCCCATTCACCATATTTTATAATCCTAGGTCTGCACTGAGTTTTGACTTAATGTCTAATATTTACTATAAATGGGCTTACTTCTTGTGAATGCTAGCGGCTATCAAAATCCAAATTTGAAAGCTTTTATTTTCAGGGCCAGTCCTACAGAGTTTGTCGTACCATTTGCTAAGTATCAGAAGGCACTCTATGGTAATCAAATATCTTTAGGAATGCGCTTTCGCATGATGTTTGAGACTGAAGAATTAGGCACAAGAAGGTATACTGTATCTCACTTTACTTTTTTCCCTGCTTCAAGTGTCTTGATTGTTGTTTTGCATTTCTCTTTCTAACAAACATAATGGGTTTGCTTGCACTTCCATATTATAAGTAGAAACCAAATTAAACTGTTTTGACAAAAATGTCATGTTCTGAATAGTCTTTCTTATCTCCATTTTTTTTTTCATATTCCTATATGTTGTTATTTTGCAGGTACATGGGTACAATAACTGGCATAAGTGATCTAGATCCCGTAAGATGGAAAAACTCACAATGGCGCAACTTACAGGTTGGTTTTCTAGTTAATTTCGTTGCATCCTGTGCACTACCCTTTTCCCTTTTCTGTTGCTGATACATATGTTCTTTTGTGACCTAAGGATATTGTATTTTTTCAATAGGTTGGCTGGGATGAGTCTGCAGCAGGCGAAAAGGCGTAACAGGGTTTCAATCTGGGAAATCGAACGGTTGCTGCTCCATTTTCATATGCCCTCCACCATTTTTTGGTTCAAAACGTCCTAGACAATTAGGTATGCTTTGGTGTTTACGTTAGCACTAGTTACATGGCAGGACTTTTTTTTTTCTAGATAGTTTGGTAGTCAGGGATGCTATTCCTCAAACCACACTAGTGAAGATGCTTGGTAATATTCTTTGGATTATAGATAAGCAGTTAATGAATTCTGTATATATTTTGTGAGTTTAAGATTTAAAGTAGTTTGAGCCCTGATATAAAAATGCTTTTTTAATGTGTAGCATGGATGTACAGTAAATGATCACTGCTATGTACTTGCAGATGATGAGTCCTCAGAAATGGAGAATCTCTTAAAGAGGGCAATGCCATGGCTTGGTGAGGAGATATGCATAAAGGATCCACAGACACAGAACACCATAATGCCTGGTCTTAGCTTGGTTCAGTGGATGAACATGAATATGCAGCAGAACTCCTCGTTTGCAAACTCGGCTATGCAGTCCGAGTACCTACGATCACTAAGCAACCCCAACATTCAAAATCTTGGTGCGGCTGATCTCTCAAGGCAGTTAAACCTGCAGAACCAGATTCTGCAACAGAACAGCATTCAGTTTAGTTCTCCCAAACTTCCTCAGCAAATGCAGCCAGTCAATGAATTGTCAAAGGCATCACTTCCACTGAATCAGCTTGGTGTGGGCACCAAACCGCAAGAACAGACTCAAGACCCAAGCAATCTGCAGAGGCAACAACAGTCCATAAACCAACTACTTCCATTGAGCCAATCTCAAACCAATCTTGTCCAGGCTCAGGTCCTTGTCCAGAATCAAATGCAGCAGCAGCAACCACAATCCATGACTCAAAATCAGCAGCCAGCTGCCAGCCAGTCGCTGCTCCTGCCCCATCAGCAGCAACAGCAACATCAACAACAAAAGTTGGCACATCAACAGCAGCAGCTTTTACTTCAGCAACAACAATTGCAGCAACAGCAGCAAAATCAGCAACAGTTAAATAAGATGGCTGCGCAAGTGCCAAATCTGGCATCACATCAGCTGCAACTGTCTGATCAGCAGCTTCAGCTGCAACTGCTACAAAAATTGCAACAGCAGCAGCAGTCGTTGCTATCACAACCAGGTGTTACTCTTGCACAATTACCTCTAATCCAAGAGCAGCAAAAGTTGATTATTGATATGCAGCAGCAGCTGTCAAATTCTCAATCACTTTCCCAGCCACAAATAATGCCTCAACAAAGTACCAAAGTTCCGTCACAGGCAACACCACCACCACCAACCGTGCAACAAGAGTCACAGCAGAAGCTTCCACAGAAGCATGTTAGTTTCACTGACACATCACATACTGCCATTCCTCCAACTACGTCAGTCAACGCCATTTCAGCTGTGGGAAGTCCTCTGATGGCAACTGGTGCCACACATTCTGTACTTACCGATGAAATCCCTTCCTGCTCAACATCACCTTCAACAGCTAATGGTAATCACCTTGTGCAACCAGTCCTCGGAAGAAACCAACAATGCAGCATGATGAACTATGAGAAGGTGCCTCAGTCTACTGCTCCTATGTCAATCCCAAGCTCCCTGGAAGCTGTCACGGCGACGCCAAGATCAATCAAGGAATTGCCAAAGTTGAATTCTAATGTCAAGCAAAGTGTAATGGCTTCAAAGCTACCAAATACAGGGCCTGTACCTCAAAATTTGGCTAACAATGCACCCCCGACGGACTATCTGGAAACAGCTTCATCAGCAACTTCAGTGTGGCTTTCCCAAGCGGATGGACTTCTACATCATGGTTTCCCCATGTCTAACTTCAATCAGCAGCAGATGTTCAAAGATGCGGCTCCTGAGACTGATATCCACAGTGCTGATCCCAGTAATAACACACTCTTTGGTATAAATTGTGATGGTCAGCTGGGCTTTCCCATGGGAGCGGATGGCTTCTTATCGAATGGAATTGATCCTTCCAAGTATCAGAATCACATTTCAACAGATATTGATGGTAACTACAGGATCCCAAAGGATGGTCAGCAAGAAATATCGTCATCCATGGTTTCACAGTCATTTGGTGCATCAGATATGGCATTCAATTCAATTGACTCTGGTATGAATGATGGTGGTTTCGTGAACAGAACTTCTTGGCCTCTTCCCCTAAAGAGGATGAGGACATTTACCAAGGTTGGCACTTTTCTATTTCTTTAACATACAGCTAATCTTTCACTTTGGGTAAACATAATAGTATTTGTGCTTTAACTGTTATGAAACGAAGCATATGCTATTTTCAGTTTCATATTGTTTCTTCTGCTTAACCTATAATTTCTTGTAGGTGTATAAACGTGGAGCTGTAGGTCGGTCCATTGACATTAGTCAGTTCAATGGATATGATGAGTTGAAGCATGCTCTGGCTCGCATGTTTAGTATGGAGGGGCAACTTGAGGAACGACAGAGAATTGGCTGGAAACTTGTCTACAAGGATCATGAGGATGACATCTTACTTCTTGGTGATGACCCTTGGGAGTAAGTTCAGCTGTCTCGTACTTTAATATATATTTTTAAAATTATTTGCTTTTGGGAGTCTCTAAGATAGGAATACCAATAAATTTGGTAATAATGATCAATTTGTAAAACTGCTGGATATGTATGTTCTTGAAACTGGTCCTGACAATATGAGATATGCTCAATAATTCGATGATGAGTTATGAACAAAACATGAACAACCCTAAATGTACTCTGATTCTGTCTTACCCTTATTTTGTTATAATGCAGGGAATTTGTCAACTGTGTGAAGTGCATTAGGATCTTGTCGCCTCACGAAGTGCAGCAGATGAGCCTGGATGGGGATCTGGGGAACAACATTCTCCCCAACCAGGCCTGCAGCAGCTCGGACGGCGGGAATGCCTGGAGGGCTCGCTGCGATCAGAACTCTGGTAACCCTTCTACTGGTTCATATGACCAGTTTGAATGACCTAACTTGCCGGTCCATTCATGCCGGATCACAAGTAGGCGTCTCCTGAGGGATGGCAGGTGCAGAATATTTGTAGATGTGTCACCAGTTTTACATCCGGGAGAGCAAATGGCTCCATGGATTGGTAGCGTTTTTGTTCATATGTGTAGGTTTTCTCACATGGAAGGGATTGTAGTATAGAGGATGGGAAATGAAGCTTACCGTAGGTGAAAGATGATGTTGTACTATGAGAGAAAAAAACATGCTTGTTGTAAAGACTGCTGGCCTTCAGTCCACGTATCTCAAATTTCTTCTCTGACCATGTGCTGTTTCCAAAGCGTTATGTCCTGTTCGTGCATTCTTCAGGAGTTGAGCGCAAGAATTCTTGTGCTGATTGTCGCAGGAGCACCCATTTTCACTTTATTAGTGCTGAACAGTGTCTTATAATCCGTACTTTTTAGCCCTTTTTTTTTTTCAGTCGGAACAGTATTTTTTTCTCACAACAAATCAGTCGGAACAGTGTTTGTCCTTAGTTTTTCCAGCGAAGCGAACAATGCCGAAGTTGACATGATTTTTTTCTTGCCGCTGTTGCAGACGCATTTGTGGGCCCTGGATATCAGCAGCAGCGTCGCAAGAAGGGAACCAACAGAGGCAACAAATCAACACAGGGGTTTTCCTAAAAATCCCCCTAAAGCTCTGATTTCCTATAACTGCGGGGTTCTCCTCTCAAAAATCCTTCTAAAACTCGATTTACTAAAACTTTTTTTTTGGTGATCCAAACAACCACTTGGTTGATTAGTTTTTAAAATTATTGGTAAAGTTTTTTGAGGAATTTGTTAAAGCTAAGGCCCCGTTTGGCAGGGCTTCTCCAGCGGCTTCAGGAGCCGTTTGGAGCCGTTTTCTGCCAAACGGGGTAAAATGAAACGGCTCCACCGATGAAGCCCCTAAAAACGTGCTCTCACAGAGCTTTGGGGTAGGAAGGAGCCAAAAATAGTGGCTTCTCCCGGCTCCTCCTCTAGGCCCCTAAAAACATGCTCTCACAGGGAAGCCATTTTGCCAAACGGTTTACCAAAACCGCTTCAGCTTCACCGGTGGAGCTGTTCGTGGAGCTGAAGAAAAAAAAATGGCTTCACTAGTATAGTTGCTATAGTATTATCGCGGGATCGGTTACCAAATTGTAAGGCAGGCTGCATCATTCATGCAAGAATTTGGACTATTATTAGACAGGACAAACTAGTAGCATAATATAATAATTACTTCCCTTCTCCGACGATACGATACGATACCCTGCACTCACTTTCTTCACGATGCACACCCCTAATGCTGGGGAAGGATAAAGATCTTCTTGACACCGTCGGTGAAGTCGACGCCCACCTCGGCGAACCCCTTCTTCTCGTGCTGCCTCAGGACATCCGCATGCAGGTCGATGCAGTAATTCCTACGAGCCGTATCAGATTGACGGAGGTCGCGCAGCTCGGGGAACCTGGAGTAGACATAGGAATTTTCCTTGATAGGAGGCAGCTTCTGGTACAGACGTCTCTTCTTGAGAATGTCAATGAAAGAGTCGGGCACCGTCTCCTTGGTGATCATAGCCACCGTCGGCTCGGCCATGCGCTCGATCCCCGCCGGCGGCTTGGTCAAGAAGACGAAGTTGATCCAGGAGGCCTCCGTCACCATGCCTGTCCCGGCCGCCTCCTTGTTCCCCCGCTCAGCCTTGGTGACGACGCCGATCTCGCTGTCGACGACGATGCTGCTCCCCGACATCCTGACGGCGGCCTTGATCGATCGGGGCAAGTGTTCGGTGGCGGTGCTCTCGTCGACGTCGAGGCCCGTCTGTCGCCGCGCGCCTTGTCGATGCAAGGGCCTGGTGCTGCTGCGGGCGCCTCGCGAGGTAGGCCTCGGTTGGTGCAGGTGGCGGCGCGGCAGACTGCTGCGCTGGGGCGTTGTTGTAGGTCGAGAACGAACGAGGAGACCCTACCCAGGGCATCGCCGTCTCGCCGCGCGCTATATATATATATATATACACACACGGAGAGTATATCTACAGAATAAGTTATTCTGTAGCCACCTCCATTTACGATAATTTTATATACTAATTTACGATAATGTTAATACATATTTATGATAGTTGGGTTACTATACCATATGAGGATATTGATCATAACGTTATAGTAAACCACTTAGCAAGGAGTTACTATAATCTCGTAAATTAACATAGTAATTATCGCAGAATAAGTTATTTTGTACCCAGCTACAAGATAGTAGCGCTCTCTCTCTCTATATATATATAATCAAAGTCTGATTTTGTTCATCAAACTCCAAACATTACCTATAAAAAAATGAATTTAGGAGATACCTCTTTTATTTACACTAGGTTTATGCCTGTGCGTTGTTAGTTGCAACGGGAACAAAAATAAAATACCATGGCAAATTTAAGTTTGCACATGTATTATTATACCACATGCCTAATCGGGTTTGACCTGCCCAAGTCCTAAAGTTACAGCCGTAAGCAATAGAAACGAGCTACACCCACATTATGAACCGCGTAAACATGGATCTGCTTAGAATTCTGTACGTTGCTTGAGATCCAAAAGCTTGCTTACGGGCAACAAAATCCTAGCTATGCAGCTTGTTGAGCCTCCAAATGCAGGTATGTGCGATTTCTCACGATTTCTCATATCTCTGCTGCTCTGCACTCAGAATAGCGTAATCGTTAGTAATATATGGTTCATGTGCACAAAGGAGTCCAAGGCACAGGTAGTGGGACTGCGGGAGGCATCATCGCACATTTGACATCAGTGTCTGTGATTGCAAATCTATTTCCCCGTACTGGCAAAGTAGCCCTAAAAAATTTCTCCTCTTGCTATAATAATAAATAAAGAGCAGTGCTAGCGTTCGGACGTCCGGACGTCCGGACGAATGCGCACATCTAGACGCTCGTGTCTGCACGCCGTTTCGCACGCCCACGCCGGACCCGCGCCACCCGACCCCATGCGGGGACCGCTCAATCCCCCTCCGCTTCCCATGCTTGGACGTTTGCGCCCGGTCGGCAGTGGCCCAACAGCTGCACCAGGCGGGCAGGTGGTTCCCCTGCAGCAACATCCGATTTACTTTTGAAATATCGAGATGAAACATTGCAACATGAGTCTAAAAATAGATGGAACAATTCAAACATGCGTCTGAAACATTTACAAAAAACACATGAAAACACATGAAAAGACCATTGCAAAACACATCCAACATCCGGATAAAACACTTGATATGTGTGAAACATCCAAATAAACACACTTGCAACATACGTTTGAAAAAAACAGATAAAACATTTGAAACAAACGCTTGCAACATACGTGTATAACCATTACAACATATGCAACATCCGATCTACTTTTGTAACATCCATATAAAACATTTGCAATATATCTCAAAAACATATGAAACACTTCAAATATACGCTTGCAACATGTCGTTTCAACGTAACATCTGCTTGCTGCTTGAAAGAATTGAGGCTCTTCGGCGTGTGGAGTTCACCGGTGTAAATCTCGCCTGTGACGTGGAGCTCGAGCTGTGCGTGGGTAAGTTCCATCCCGACCGTCGTGAGTTACGCGCGGGCGAGTTCCGCCCCAGCCACGGCGAGGTGGACAGGCGGAGCGCGAGATGTGCGTGGGCCAACTCTGCTTGGGCTGCTGTGAGCTGCACGTGGATGAGCTCCAACCCGGCTGCAGTGAGTTTGGGCTACGTCCGCCTTGGCCGAGATGAGTACGGGCGGCCGCGACGAGGACGGGATGAGCGCAGGCGGCCACGGTGAGCACGTGATGAGCGCGCACTATGCACGGTGATTTTTTTTTTATCAAAAACTGCAGTGACGAGCGGATAAGAAGGTGTCATTTAGGCTGGCATTGTGGTCGACTAACGGAAGCGTCCGGGCGGACGGACGCTCTATTCTAAAAATTACCGATAAATTCCCTAGAGAAAGAATTACCGAGCGGATGCGTCGCGGTGGGCCATTGGGCCGGCCCACCAACGTGAGCGTCCGCAGGCGCGGATATCCGGCGTCCAGACGAAGGGACGGCGACAGGAAGCATTTCCGATAAAATCCAGTTGCTTCGTACCCTGCGGCCGCCAACTCGAGCCCTAGTGTTTCCTGCTCCTCGTCCGGCAATGGCGGACGCCGGCCTCAGCGATCTCAAGAAGCTGCTCGGCGACGTCCTCGACAAGCTAACATCGCTCGAGACCAAGCTGACGGCGGTCGATGGCGAGCTCTCCACCGTCAAGATCGACCAACGGCGCCTCCACGACTCCGTCAAGGCTGAGAAGCAGGCCGCGTTCCCCGGAGTACTCGAGCTGCGTCTACCGGAGTACGACAGCACGGACGACCCCGACATATGGCTCCACCGCTGCGAGCTGCTCTTCCGCCTGCAGTGGACCGAGGAAGACAAAAAGGTGTGCCTCGCGGCCTTCCACATGACCGGCAAGGCGCAGATCTGGTACTACGGGGTCGAGCGCAACCGCGGCGTCCCTACCTGGCCGCAGTTCGCCGAGTCGGTGCGCCGCCGCTTCGGTTCCCTGACGCGCAGCAACGACGCGTTCCGCGAGCTCATCCAACTGCGGCACACCGGCTTCGTCGCGGAGTACCGGGAAGAGTTCCTGGGGCTGGTGGACAGATGCGACGGCGTGACCGACGCGATGCAGCTCGCCTTCTTCACCGCCGGCCTCCGCGATCCCCTGCGCGCCGACGTGGAGCTGCGGCAACCGGCGACCCTGCAAGACGCCGCGTGGATGGCCGGTGTGCTCGAGCACCGGGAGGAACTTGGCTTCGAAAATTGATCAATTTACTGATCAGTAAACACCAAGGGCTATAAATTATGATAACATCGTTTTAAAAAAATTATGATAGTTATGCTTTCCTCGAACCTATTTGTGCTTGTATAAATTATGCTTTCCTCGAACCTATTTGTGATGACCCAAATCCAGCATCTTCTGAGGAATTGAGAGCCTTTTCTCCCTAATTTATTTCCTGTTGA